CCCCAAAACCCCAAAACCCCAAAACCCCAAAACCCCAAAACCCCGAAATATTTATATCAAATTGAGATTAAGAAAATATTAAAATTTGAATTAAATGGAGAAGTCAGACCCAAGATTAATTCGTAAGTTATGATAGGGTTATAAGCTTTCAAACTGTAAAATATAAATCTCGGTGACCATATTCTCTGATCATACAACTCATAATGGTTGATTTTCGGATAAAACTCATCGTTCAAATAATCTTGGTTTTTATTGATTTTTAAACCAAATTCAATTTAACAACTCATGAAGTACGACTATTTTGCTTTCATAACTCTTCAAATTTTTTGAATGTGCTTTGGGATCCTTAATTAAAAGTCTAGTTGGTCAATTTCCCACATGATGCCTTTTTAACTTTAAAATTTATCAAATCTCACAATTCTTGAGGCATAATTCCAACTTCTGTAGGTAAAATTCAAACAGATGTGCAAGACCTGGCATCAAAAGCTCATCTTGATGGTAAAGTCTGGTCTATTTCCAATAACTTAACCCTTAGAAACTCCTTGGTTTATTCCGTTATACTAGAATTCTTTCGTATAAACCTCAAAAAATATCAAATTATGCTAAATTTTATTCCAAAACCAAGCTAATCTCTCTAAAGTGCCAACGCAAGAACTTTTCAACTTGAAGTACTTGGACACTAAACACACAAGCAAGTGCTTGCTCCCATCGGAGAAACAAGAAGGCCCATTTTGAGATGAGATCCAGTATGAGTGAGCCACCCTGAAGATACACAACTAAAAGGCAACAGAAAGTGCAGTAAGTCGATCTCTAGCTAAGCATAAGCTAAGTTTCTCATTCTCTAGGCATCAGAAATACGGCGGCCAGATCGTCAGTAATGTCTGTAGCAATAAGACTTCCTTTATGCCACTCAAATGACCAGAAGATTCTTTCGAAATTGATGAAATCACTAGCCCTCGAGAGTCTCATGCTCATGAGAATCTCTCTCAGAAGATGAGTAGCAGGTATAAGTCCGCATTCCAGACTGTTGACAATAAGTGGACAAACGCTTATCGGCGTGTCAAGGATAACACTCTCGGGCATTTCATTAATGTTGCCCATGACTTGGTGATCAAGAACCCATCGAAGAGAAATATCAGTAATTCTATGTACAAGACAGAAGGTAAACCCTGAGGTTTTAGCATAGATCCTGGCTTGCAATCATTGAAAATTAATAAGACGAGGTCAACCTCTTTCAAAATTTTGAAGAGAAACAAGCATCTGGGTTCTTCCCGCAGTTTAAAAGTTAGACTTGACCTTGAAAAAGGTGACAAAGCTGGGTCTGATCTACAAAATTCAGAGAAAGAGAACATATTGTCTTGAAATAGCAAGCCTACTCCCTCCAACCGTCAAAAATTGCAACCGAAGAGAGATGACTTGGAAGAGTTTCTACGCCTTGAAAAACTATGAAGGACAGATATCTTCATGAAGAGGCCTGAGCAAAGCTGATCATCTCCAAAGAAACTTATGAGGGCTAACCATAATGTGCTTCAAGATGTGGCTCAGAGTAAGAGTTGTGTTTAATTCCTGTATAGACAAGCCTAAGTTCTTCCAGAAGGTAAGAATAATGAGGTAATTCTCTAGCTAAGGCAGCCTAAGAGGGGCTAGAACGCTTCTTATAAAGACTGGGCCAGATATGCCTCAAATTATCCCAGAACTTATGGATATTTTCAACTTTGGTCTATATCTAGGGGTTTTGGGGTTTTGGGGTTTTGGGGGTTTGGGG